GGCAGGGTTGCCATGGGAATAAGGGAACTGGAAAAGTCCATGTGCACATGTGAAAACCACATGTGACTCTCTGGAACCTGATGGATATACTCCATGTAAAACACGCCAGATTACAGCTCATAGACTGCTTTTACATGGGGTGGAATTGCATGCCTGTGGGTTTTGCAGAGCTTCAGAATTACTGAAACGACAGCTGGCTCACACACAGCCACGGTGTGTGGCATGTGTACACCCAAGAATGAGCCCTGGATTCATGCATCCTGCCCAATGTAGAGGAAACCTTTAAAATGAACCAGAGCTCATGTGTAAATTCTGCGCGAGTCAGCCCTGCTGGAACAACCTGTGCACTGCATTTTTTAAAAATTTGAGTGAACAAAGATGAGTGAGGCATAATTCATAGGGTTTAGTTCATAGTAAAGGCTTTAAGAACAGTGAAGCAGTTGGAAAAACCCAACTTTACCAACACTGAAAGACTGGCAACTGAAACTATATGAATTTATAGAATTGGCAAGATTGACGCAAAGATTAAGAAATCAAAAAAATACAAAGTTAAAAGAGGATTGGAACAAATTTATGGTATATATCGAAGGCAATTTTAGTAACTTACCAACTACAGTAGGTTTGATCTAAATCTTCTGATGTTATAAACTAAAAACCAACACCAGCTGTAAGATGAAACTATTAAAAGTAGGCATCTGAAATCAAGAGGGAAGGAAGTCGGTTTTAACAAATTGTTGTATGTGCTTTGTTTTGTTTTTTGCTTGCTTTTTTCTTTACTTCTATTCTTCTTTCTTTTTTCCTTTTGTAACATTTTCTTACTGTTGAATGTTGAATGTTATTTTTTAAGCTTTGTTTTTGTAGATGTGTATGATGATGAAAATACAATAAAAAGCATTTAAAAAAAAAAAAAAAAAAAAGAACAGTGAAGCAGGACAGGCAAACCTGAGGATCGCTCCTAAACCTGCTCAATGGATGGTAAACAAGCCAAGCCCACACTACTTTTTAAAACACTCTAATGACTATTATGCCAAGCCAAGCCAAGCCCACACTCTTTTTAAAACACTCTAATGACTATTATGTAACCAGGGAGCTGTCCACAGTGCTGAAAAAGTAAGCGAAAACTATAGCACCCCACCCAACACAATTCTTGATTTAACCAGAACTGCCCACTACAAAAAGTTCCATGGGGTGAACAAGCAATAGTAAGGATATACAATTGGGGTTTTTGGATCTTGGTTTGTCTGCTGTTCCACCTTTCTTAGTATCAATCTTTTCTTTTGCCTTTTAGGTTTCTTGTTTTGGCTTCTACCCAGCAATAGCTTTGCTATTTGCTGTTAGCTCGGATTCATCTGTTAGAACATTTGCCTTGGCTCTCATTATTGAACTTATGACTCCGTTACCTCCGCTGACTTCTCAGTTTCTGATCTGGGTTTGTCTATAAATTGCTTTGTCTTCTATATACCTGTATATTATGCACTTAGAAACCTTCTGCCCATGTAGTGAGAGAGGGTCCACCTCAGCAGTTTGGGAGGGAAAACTTTATTGAACAGACAACATTCCAGAAGCCAGAAGTGGATTTTATTGCATAGCACATCACTGTTCATATGTGATCAGGATTTATAATAAAGGTGGTACCTCATTGCATTAAGTTTTAAAGTATACAAGCTTCCATATAGCCAGGGCATTATATTAAAAACCCAAGCAGAGAACAGACATTAATGTTTGGATTCTTTTTCAGATGTGCAACTTGTGAAAGCAATATTATTTTCAGTGAACTGATGGGTGACACTTTTTAGTCTTAGTTTAGATAAAATTAGACAGACCCACAAGATGGCAAGATAAAATTGCTTCATAGACCTGCTGGTTATCCCTGCTCTAGAAACTATCACTATGGTGACATTATTGGTAACTTCTCTTTATCTGAAAATTGGTGAGATTCTGGTAACTTCCCTTTATTTAGAATTTGGTGAGGGTTTTCCAAAGACATCTAGTTCTTATTAAGGGACCAAAATAAACAGAAACATTTGTAAGTATCCATCAGTTCATTAGTATTGATAGATTTTAGGGAACTGCATAATAGTAACTGGAATCAAATGCTTTGAAGCTCTTTTCCCTAAAAGCATTGAATAAGCTCACCAACTCTTAGCTTTCCTTCGCATGTTTAACTGCCAAGAATTGTTGCTATATTAAATTCTCTCACAAATACATCTTATGTTGAAAATATCTGTGTT